ACAGCGCGGGGGTGAGAGCCGTCAGCTTGGCTCCTGACTTGGCCTCCATGCTGTGATGTACCAGGACTGCCTGTCCCACCCACCCGAGGGTCAGCCTGTGCTGTGAGCGACTCCCCACACGCAGCCCCCACGCGGACGGACCTGGGTGGCCAGCGGGCCTGGCGTTCGCATCGCCCACCCTGACAACCGCCTCAGCCCTTGGTGTCTCCCAAGGCTCCCGCCCTGCTCTGTGCCTCACTCTGTGCCACCACCGGCAGAGTGAACCGATCAGAGTGGGCGGATGGAGATGAGCGTACCGACGGGGCACCCGGCGAAGCTTCCTGGCTGCCCTGGCACAGCCGACGCCCGCCACGCGCCCACGCCTGTCCATCCCAGCAGTGCCTTCCTGGAAAGCCGTCGCTCTGCCCGCCCGAGCCACTACTCCGTCTCCCGCCTGGCTTCACTGTCGCCTCCTCTGGAAAGTCGGCCCACGTGCCATCCAGGGCTCGGTCCTCCCTCTCTGGCCTCCCTCCACATTCTGTTCGCAAGTCAATGGCGGGTGCTGATACCCTGAAGAGTAACTGTGATTTGTCTCTGCATCAAGAAATCAAACATTGATTCCTTGTTGCACGTGCTGGACGCTGTGGACAAGAAGGCAAGACCGCCGTCATCAATCATGTGAGTATCATGGGGACAGTCAGACAAAAGGCGTGATCACTCTGCTGCAAGGTAAGCACCCTGTTCTGGACGCGTACACAGAGTCAGACAATAGAGAAGGACCGTCCCGGACACAACGGGGGCCACGGACGGGTTCAAGGCGAGGATGGGCTGTCTCGCTTTCTCGACGGGACCCACTTGAAGGCAAGGACTGTGTTCTATGATGCTGACCAAATGCTCCAGAAAACAGTAAAACTCAGATTCAGGTTCACCCAGTGGCTCTCAGGTTCCCCGGGGGGGGGGGGGGGGGGGGCTGGCAGACACAGCCATGGCCACTGGGCTACCTGGGGAGGGACCGGCCCAACCAGGAAGGCGAGTCTCCCTGTCTTAGTGACGCCGAGTGCACAGCCTGCCCTTCCTTCCTAAACCACTTTTTGGGGTTGTTTTGTTTAAAGTCGGAAGGAAAAAATAAACTCCTGCATATTCACAAATTTAAATCTGAAATGATTTCCTCAAGTCTTGGGTTTCTAAAATAGGTCAATCCTTCAGGCATTTAGAGAAGACATGGACGTGTGAAGCTCCTGGCAGACACTGCGAGCAAATTGCCTGCGACTCTGATTCTTGCTTCTGGTAAAATGGGGATTAAAAAAAAAAATTACAGAACCTTCATCTTTTTGTCAGAAATAAAAAGGTGTCCCTAGGCTTTTCAATTCACATTTAAAAATGCATTTTCATAAATAACCTTTTCACAATCTGTACTCTGTTTTAATTTGTCACCATGGAAAACAAGGTAACTGAAGCAGTTTAGAGATTAGTTACTGTCAAAAAGCGAAGCCAGCAGTCACTGCACTGGGAGGTTCCACCATCACTACAACCTCCTCAGCGCTAAATCCAAACCAGTCAGGTAATTAAAACTTCAGGGGAGCTCTCCAAAGAATGGGAGTATCGCTTCACAGAATCTTTCCACAGAGTCTAGGTTAAAGAACTGCATGTGCCCGGCGGGTATGGCTCAGGGGTTGAGCGCCAACTTGTGAACCAAGAGGTCACAGTTCGATTCCCGGTCAGGGCACAGGCCCCGTTTGAGGGTTTGTGGGGCACGCAGGAGGCAGCCAATCAATGATTCTCTTTCATCACTGATGTTTCTCTCTCCCCCTTCCTCTCTGAAATCAATAATATATATATATATTATATATATTTAAAAAGAACTGCATGTACATTTAAAATACATATACACACTTTAACACTCAATTTTCACTCCTTTTCAGGTTTAACTGATTTGAAATAATGGGTGAAGCCAGACTGTTTGGAACAAAGAAAATGTATCCAATGCACCACAGAACTTTTTTTTTTTATGGGGATACATAAAAGATAAAGTTATGGTACAAAACGGGCAACAGTTGACGAATTGAGGGTGCAACCAAACAAGAGGATTCTCGATGTCTGCGATGCCACTGCTTCGCGTTATCAGCCGTGCCTGGACCAGGACGGTCATCAGTTTGAAGACAGGCGTTGATAAGAAAATTATTCACACCTGCGGGTTATTTTAAATTGTGATAATAAACTGTGTGTTAGTAACACTGACTTTGTAATCATGCAAGTGCACATACGCTGTCTATGTGGCTTTTCCTAGCGACCTCCCCTGAAACTCCCCGTCGTCGACATTTCAGAAGAGAGTGTTCTTACGCCAGAGGAGGAGACGGTGGCCGCTGTCCTGCCATGTCACCGAGCCGGGGCCGCGTGTGGCAGCAGCAGCGCCTTCCTCAGGACAAGCCTCCTCTCTCGCAGCTTCGGGGCCACGTGGAGCACAGGGGCAGGTCTCTGCTCCCGCTCCGAATGGCCTCTTCGATGCTTTAACCGGGACTCAGTTAACGGGTGGGAGTCGTCCTCCCAGCCACATCTGCATTAGTCCAACCTGAGAGCACGTGAGGGAGATGAGGTGGAACCAACAGACACCAGCCCCCCGGGAAGGACCCCTACACCTGCCTCCCGGTCACAGTCCCGCTGGTGGAGGAGCTGGCGGCGCGGTTACTATGGCAGGTTTGGTAAGAACAGGGGTGAACAGGAGCCCGGCCAACCGTAAGGCAGACAAGTGAAGAGACGGAGGCCACACCCTCCCAGGGGACCGGCGGGCGGTGAAGCTGCGGACAGGAGGTTAGCTGTGGAGTATAATCCACGGGGCTCCCCGTGCGCACTTGCTGCTGAGTAGAAAGAGGAAAAAGCCACCCACCCACCCACTCATCCTTCCAGGTGTCCCCTCAAGAAATAAATGAAAAGCCATCCATGCCTGTCCTCCCACAGGTCCCAGTCCAGGGAGGGGAGACCTGGAACGACCGTGGGAATGCTGGCGGTCAGCTACTCTGAGCTTCAAAGTCGCCGAAGTCGCCGTGCAGGAAGGCGTCGGTGCAGAGATGGCAGCGTGAGCAGAGGTCTGGAAGCTGTTGGCAAACAGTGGTTCGCAGCATTTCCTTATAATCCTTCGTCTTCGATGTCAGTTGTCACTTCTCCACTCTCATTTCTGGTTGAAACTCTCAGGACGGATCTCCTGTGTCCCACAGAGTTTGGGCTGGTTCCGTCTGATTATCAAGGTATGTTTCGATTCATTGTCACTCTGTTCACTGTTTATAACATGTTATTTAGCGCCCATGTCTTCGTGTGTGTTTTCAGTTTCCTTCTTGTGACTGATTTAAAATTTCAGAGCATATGGCCAGAGAAGATGTTTGATATGATTCCAACCTTCTTACATTTGCTGAGACCTGTTCTGTGTCCTAACATGGTCTCTCCTAGAAAATGCTCCATGTGCACTTGAAAAGCACGTATATTCCGCTGCTTTAGGGTGAAACGCTCCGAAGGTATCAATTGCATCCATCTGATCCAGTGCGTCACTTAAGGCCACTGTTTCCTTGTTGATTTTCTGTTTGGAAGATCTTTCCATTGATGTCATGGGTGTTAAATTCCCCTCCTATGACTGTATCCCTGTCAGTCTCTCCCTTTATGTCCTGTGTTCACTGAAGTGTGTTATTTATAATAGCCAAGATCTGGAAGCAGCCCCAGTGCCCATCAGCAGATGAGTGGATAAAAAAGTTGTAGTACATTCACACAATGGAATACTACTGGACCATAGAAAAGAAGAAGAAGAAGAAGAAAATTTACCCTTTGTGACAACAAGGATGGGCCTGGGGAGTATTATGTTAAGTGAAGTAAGCCAGTCAGAGACAGACCAATACCACACGATTTCTCTCCTAGGTGAACTATAATGAACAAAACAGACCGAGAAACAAGGCAGAAACAGACTCACGGAGGGAGAAGAGACTGGCAGCGGGGAGCGGGGTTGCAGGGCTGGGTGAGAAGGTGAGGGGCTTAAGGAAAAGTGCTCACGGACACGGACAGCAGAACGGCTATTACCAGAGGGAAAGGGAGGTGAGAGGAGGTGGAAGGGCAAAGGGGGCACAAACAGTGATGGAAGGAGGCAGGACTTGGAGTGGTGAACACAAAACACAATGTACAGATGACGTATCACAGAACTGTACGCCGGAACCCTATATAATTGCATTAACCAACGCCACCCCAATAAATTCAATTAAAAGAAAATAAAGAGCAAAACATGAATACCAACTGGGTCCCGCATTTCAGCCCTCTCACTGCCTCCCTCTCTTTGACGACAGTCACACACTCGTCCTTTAACACTTCGATTACTGATGTGAAACGTCTGTCCACTACTCATGCTCTTCCTTTACGGCAAACTGGGAGGTCCCAGCAAGGATCCGAGGGGTTTGTATTCTCGTAAGAGTTCCTCTCCCCACCCCCCAGCCGGTTTTCAGGGTTAGATTTTCCTCCTCGCATGTTCAGTAAGGCTATGGACCCGATCAAAGAATTACTGAATGGGGAACGAGAAGAACTGATGTGCCTGAATTTAAAAAACGGCGAATTTCTGTTTTCTTCCCTGAGAAGGATGTCGGCTAAGAATCCACATCAGGCAGCAGAGCGTTAGAGGAAGCCCTTCAGTGTGGAGACGGCCCGGCACCAGGCAGTGACTCTTAAATGACTGGATTACGAAGAGGGGCCCGAGGTGGACTGTGAGAGGGTGTTACGTGAACATCCTACAGAAGCGGGCGACATGGCCTTGAGCCTCGTCGTGAACTCCAGACCCACCACCCAGAGTCACCGTCAGCAGCTCGACCTCAGCTAGGGGGTGAGCCAGGCTCTTTCTCCTCCCGCTTCTGTGCCTCCAGCACCAAGTATTCAATATGCACGGCTAACACATCAGGGGGACAGCCAGGAAGGGACACGAGGTGAGAGGGTCCCTGGCTGGGGTAGGTGCGTTGGGTCAACCCCATCGTCAGAGCTGCTGTGATGCTGTCACTTACGTAATCGCCGTAGGTCTCCTGCGTTGGGGGTGGCGGTGGAGGTCTGTACCCGGTTGGGGGGACTCCTCTTGCTCTGGGGGTGAGAAGGCCTCGTCCCCGACTCACAAGCCCTCGGGTGGAAAGGACTCCCCTGGACGCCGACGCCCCTCGTGGGGCCACAACGCCAACGGGCCTGGCGGTGACGCCTCCCCTGCCCCTGCAAGCAAGAGGGACAGGTTAGCAGTGTCTGTCATGTTCTCTGACGTCCCGCCGACACCTCAGAGGAACCCACGGTCCCGTAAAAGAAAGGAGGGGCCGATATGCGAAGGAGCAAGCAAAGCAAGAGAAGCAGCGGGCGTCCCCCAGAAAGAAGCCTGCCAGGCAGCCGGCCCCGCGCCGCGAAACCTCGAACATCCGAGACGCCCCCGATTTCGCTGAGACCCTAAACCTGCCCTAATCAATAAATCAAGTATTTTTTAAAGACACACACAACAGCACTTACTGAGGCAACAAAAGAAGTGAAATGAAATGCTTTGGCACACAGCTAAGAAAATGTGTACAGAAACCATGTTTAAAAAAAATACAAGACTCTGAGGAGGGAAATGAAAGAGAAACAGTCCAAGCTCATGGTTTTACGAGTCAATAGTGCTCAGTTGCCAATTCTTCCCGACTTGATGTATGGACTCAGTGCAATCCCCATCCAAATCCCAGCAAGCTATTTTGTAGCTGGACCAACAGATTCTAAAGTATACAAGGAAAGATAAAAACAAACAGAAGAGACAATACAGTGCTCAAGAAGAAAAATGTTGGAGGGCTCATAATGCCTGATTGCAAGACTCACTTAAAAGCTACAGTAATCCAGAGGGTGAGGACTGAAGACAGGACTAGACACACAGATCGATGGGCGAAAGCAGAGCCCAGAAATGGATCCACAGAAAGAGTCCAGGGATCACTGACAAAGGAGCAAAGACAGATGAACAATTTTTACCAATGCCAATCACTCTGGACTGCACTGGAAGACACTGTAATTTCTAGCGTGCCTCGTTAATCCTTTTTCCTCTGGTACGCGTCTAGAAAAGTCTTCAATGTGATCCGAATAAAAACACAGTTTCCATTTGCAGTGCATCTAACCCACTGGTGGTATTTCAGTTGACGTGTGTGTATACCAGCCAAGGAAGGCACCTGCTTCCTTATCCAATACCCCTCCATGGCCATCCAAGGTACTTACTATAAGGGCCACGAAACAGTCACTATGTCTTTGGAATATATAAACGCATGTCTTTCATCAAGTTGAAAGACATGCATTTATATATTCGAGAAGTTCACAATTCCTCCCCATCATCATGGACCTTGTTAGATCGTGGGCTATGGGGTGTACGGAGTCACACCGAGGTGCCTGCTACAGAATTTCAGACAGGTCGTGTGAGAGATGTAGCTCCAGACACTTATCTGTAAAAGATGATCTGAAGATTCATTTTCAAGGGAACGTCGATGGGAATGGAGTCTAGCAGCAGTGAGAGTACGGCTCTAAATGACACCTTGGGGAGAGGAAGGCGTGATGCGGAGTGACACGCTAACACACAAGCCCTGTGATACGGCAATGTACTCGCTGAACGCTAAAACGAGGCTCAGGGCAGAGCTGCGCTGCGGGGCTGGGGACAGAAAAAGGCCTGGCGGCTGAGATTCACAATGATAATCTGTGGGCATTTTTTTTTTTTTCTACTTGAAAAGTTTGTTCAAATTGATAGAATCAGGGTGCAGCGCTGTTCTCAACAAGGACATGGAAGAGCAGAAAGGTAACACAACTGAGTAGAAGGCTTCTCAAGCGGATGGATGGACGCCTGTGGTTGTAATGGTTCCTTCTGTTTATAGTTTTCTCAGCAGAGCGACCAGGGTTTCTGGCTTTGAACCTCAAATATAAAAATAACCCAGAGAGGTCTTAGTAGGGAACAGCTATTTTGGAGGGAACAGGGCTTTAAACGGCCGACGACAATAAGTATGGATTAATCAGAAATGACTTATTTAGCTTGTCAATTAGTAGCAGGTTTTAAGATGCGATGAAAAGGCACATGCTTTGGGTTCCAACATGCCCAGATCTACTCTGTCACGTCACTGCTTCGCCTTGGTTTTCCCATCTGTAAAGTGAGTTTCACAACATGAGCTCTCACAGGACGGATGCGAGGTTCACCCACAGGACATATAAAGTGCCTAGAGCAGGCGCCGGTGAGCGGTGATGACCATGCAGGCTCCTCTGTCCTGATGCCTCCGTCTGCTGCTTCCTGGAGGAGGAGGAGGGAGCTGCGGGAAGGTACCACTCCACCCAGTCCTCACGTCACAGATGGAGCAACAGTGCACTGATACACACTGTGTACATTTAGCCACAGTAAGAGCCTGGCAGAGTGAGAGTGAACCTACTGCACTGTTTGGCTTTTATTCCTAAATTCTATGAGCAGCAGGAAAATAGGGTAAAGCCATAGATTTGGCGGCAGAAGCTGGGACGCGCAGGCAGCGCCAGCATGTTAACCAGTGACCATGGGAAAGGCAGGTACGGCCTGGGCAGCAGGAAGGGAGGCCACCAGGGGATCTTCGGGATCCGACCTCAGGGCCTTCGCCTCAAATCTGTGTCCCAGTGAGATCCACGTGCCCAGGGATCCATGTGAGGCCCACGCCTGGTGCAGGAATGGCCTGTGGGGTCATTCACTTCCCCTGCGGAACCCCTCATGCATTTGACAACTTTTCCTCCTTCCTGGGAGTGCGCTTCCGAGAGGACAGCCTCATCATTCGGTGGCTCCCTTCCTGCCGGAGGCTGGCGGGAAGGAGGGCTAGACACGGAAAAGGCGGGGCAGCCGCAGCTCCCGCCCCTCAGCGGGCAACACTGTCAGGGCTGATGGAGACCGAGACTTCCCAACAGATGCCCTGGCCCTCGCCGGTGGGGCTCAGGGAATGAGCGTCGGCCTGCAGACTGAAGGGTCCCGGGTTCGATTCTGGTCAAGAGCACACACCTGGGTTGTGGGCTCGATCCCTAGTGGGGGACGTGTAGGCTGGCAGCTCCCCTCGTCCCCCTCCCCCGGGCACCTGTGGGGATCAGTGGGGCTCCAGGGCAGGCTCCTCGGGGGTTCCTGTGCTTCCGCATCCCCGGACCTCGTCTCCAGGCAGAGACCCCCCCCAGCAGACCGGGGGGCTGGGGGCATTTAGGGGGACTCTTTCCAACCACCTCTCATGTGCTGCTGCTGCTGCGGCTGCGGCTGCCTGTTTGGACCTGGAGGCTACTGACTGCTGTGAAACCTGCTGGTTAACTCACATCTTTATTGTGATCCGTCCAATCTTCTATGTAATTTTTTAAAAATGACTGAGCAACTGGTTATACTGTGCGCAGTATGAAAGAGGGCCAAGGCGTCCTGGCTGGTGTGGCTCAGGGGATAGAGCGTCGGCCTGCAGACTGAAGGGTCTGGGTTCGATCCTGGTCCAGGGCACATGCCGGGTTGCAGGCTCGACCCCCAGTGTGGGCCGTGCAGGAGGCAGCCAGTGATTCTCTCTCATCACTGATGCTTCTATCTCTCCCTCTCCCTTCCTCTCACAAATCAATAAAAATATATATAAAAATAGAGAGAGAGAGAGAGAGAGAGAGAGAGAGAGAGAGATCCAAGGCAATTTGCTCTGTCTCCAACAAGTTACACAGGGTGATCTTCTGTGGGCAACAGAAGACAGCGTGTGAGGAAGCCAAGCTCTTCGACAGCCCGGGAAGCGGTCCACCCTCTTCCCTCCGGCGCAGTGCCTGCCCAAACAGAGAGCTGGCTCCTCACTCTGAGGCCTGTCGCTGTCTTCCAATGCGGGTGGTCCGCACCTTTTCCCTTTTCTTCATTCAAAAACAAAAGAAAGAAAAATCTTCATCGCTTCCGATGAGGACTCCCGGCACATGTCTTCTCCCTCTCAACAGCGACACTGATGATAAGGGAGCTGAGGGAGGCGTGGGGTGCGTTTAAGGTCCGGTAGCGAGGGACTGACCCAGCATCGGCATGAAAAATTCCACTGTGAGTGTGGGGTCCTTTTGAGTGATCGGAAAAGGAATCAGTCCTGTTTGGACTGGGATGGAACATTTAAAAAAGGAATCTAGTTTCATCTTAAAGATCTTTAAGACGGTGAATTCCAACTGGAAGGGTGATACAACCAGGTCCGGAAGGACGGGAGACTCGACGACAGGACACAGTGACCGTGGGAGAGCGGCCTGACCATGAGGAACGGACACATTAGGGCGGCTGCACCCACCGTATTCTGAAGATGGAAAGAGCCAGCAGCGAGGAACTGCCTACCTGCCTGTCGTCGGGGTCGGGACGCCTCTGGTGCGCGAGGCGGACTTCCCTCGGGCCGAGGGGGCATCCGCGCTTTCCGAGCCGCCGTTCAGGTATGTCAGCTCCTGCAGCTGCGCCTGGCGGATCTCGTCGTTGTAGTCCTGGGGAGACAGGCAGCGTCACCGCCACGAAGGCACCGGGATGGTCAGAACATGGAGCAAACGGGCTTTAAAAGATGTTTTTATTGGTTTCAGAGAGGAAGGGAGAGGGAGAGAGAGAGGAACATCAATGATGAGAGAGAATCATGGACCGGCTGCCTCCTGCACGCCCCACACTGGGGATCGAGCCTGCAACCCGGGCCTGTGCCCTGACCAGGAATTGAATTGTGTGACCTCCTGTTCATAGGTGGAAGCTCAACCACTGAGCCACACTGGCCGGGCAGCACATAATTTTTTTTTTAACAGAGGAAAGGGTTAGGAAAATAGTTGACCTCATAAAACAAGCTTTGAGTTTGTTAAAATGAAAATGTATCAGTAAGTCTTAAAAAGTGAAAAAACACAGTATTGTTCCCCAAGGTGAAATGCCCTACCATCAGCCATAACTCTGGCCCCTCAGGCATGAATTCCAGGCGAAACATTTATAATGAAGTTAAAATTGCACGTGACAGACACATGGGCAAGGCCACTCACAACTCAATTCCACCGGCTGCCACCGAGCACCCGTGAGGCGCCGAGCAGCAGACGCAGGCGGGGCCGGCCGGGCCCTGCACGCTCTTCCGTACACTTCCATGTGGATGTTGCACACGGAGCAAAAATGCAACGTCTCCAAAACTCAGCACATCACCTGGTACCGGAAAACCTGCCCCTCCGTGTCTTATATTCCTGTCCCCACGGCCACCTGGGGACTCTGGGAGTCACCCCTGACTCCTCCCCTTTCCTAACTCCCCGGCTCCATCAACCACCGGCAAGAACCAAGTGTAACCAGCAGAGGAAAGTGTGACTTAGTTCACAATGAAAGGGACGTGCAGATGTGCGTGGCCGGACAGGAGCGCCACCCCACTTAGCTGGAGGAGGGAGAGGGTTTCTGCAGGCATCACCCAAGGGTGAGTGTGAACTAGCTGCCGGAGAGGGGGCACCACCGTGTTCCCGACGGGGTGGGGGGAGCGTGTTTTAAGGCCAACGGACAGGTGTGTTGAGCTCACTGCGAGCGGCAGGGGAGCTGAGAGCAGGGCCCGGGGCAGTGTCCACACAGACACTTTCTCTAATGCGTCTGCGGCCCTGGGACCCCAGGAGACTCGCTGGGACGCAGCAGTAGCGCGACCTCTCACAACCCACCTATAAATCTGTTTCCTGCCAGGTGACAAAGCGTGTGAGGATCAGTAAGTTATTTGTAAAGCACACTCGAAATAAAACGTGCCGCACGAATGCTGAACGCTTGCCCGCTGCAAGTGTGAGGCGGCGGGACACAAAACCGTCTGGGTTAAAAATAGATCCCGGGAAGAAGCGGACGGGGGCCTGTTCCCACACACGGAGGGCACGGGGATCTGTGTCCGCGAGCCATGCACTCCCCGGGCGATTCCAGGGTCACAGAAGGGCGAGGACTCGAGTCCCCCCACTGGGACCAGGGACTGTGCCCCTCGACTTCCTCACTGGCGTGACCTCGGCAGCGTGGTGTAATCTCTGAAGATCTGCGGTCTCACAAGGAAAGGAGGGATGATGACCAGTCATTCGTGGGGACAGGGCGAGGCCTCCTTGCCATGACGCAGGCGAGGCTCCGGGGTAGACAATGGACCGTGCAAGCACCAATGGCTGCTACGTCACCAAGGACCTGAGTACGGGAACGCCCGGCCGGCGAGGCTCCGTGGTTGAGCATCGACCTATGAACCGGGAGGTCCCGGTTCGACTCCCGGTCAGGGCTCGTGCCGGACTGCCTCCTGGATCCCCAGCGTGGGGTGTGCAGGAGGCAGCCCATCTGATCGATGACTCTCTCTCACCACGGAAGTTTCCTGCTCTCCCGCTCCCTTCCTCTCTGAAATCAATGAAAATATATATTTAAACAAAACCCGTGCAGGAAGAACGCGAGCTGCACTGACGGGAATGAGGAACTTCTTGATCTCCTCCAGGGCGTGGCCCATGCGGGCGTAGGCCTCGGCGGGCGGGGCGAACACCTCGATGAGGACGTGCAGGTCGTCGTGCAGGTGGAAGTACTTGGCCTCCCCGCTTTTCCTCAGCTCTTCCTCCTGCGGAAACACAAGGCTGGTGGGAGGATGTGTCGTCGGGAGGAGAGAGGGAGAGAGGGAATCTACCCAGAGCTCTTCGCCCGTGGCTGTCCCAGAGGATCCGCCCAGAGCCAACGCCACCTAGGGAAGAGAGTTAACGTATAAACGGGTCCTGCCATTCTGACCCCAGGCTTTTAGGAAAACGCCCAGGCCTCCAGCTGGCACTCAGTCTCAGCTCCTGTCTGGGGCCTGGGAGCCCCGCCCCTGCCCTCTGCCCCCCCAACCCCCCGCTGGGCTCCCCGCCTCCCCAGGCCCCTCCAGGCTCCGCACAGACCTGCTGCAGCCCAGCTGGCTCCTGCACTGGTCAGGCTGTGTGCCCGCGGTGCCGCGATCAAGTCCTGACCAACCTCCAAAATGCCTACGGGCCCTTCCTGTCCCTCGGCCCTTGCCTAAGCCCCCGCTGCAGCGATCGCATGGAGCGCAAACCCCACGGTCCCTCTTGGTGCTGCAACCTTCTTACTCAGAAAAGGGCTCGGCACAGAGCAGACGCTCAACAGATACTCACTGAGTGAGTGACTAGTTATCTATTCATGTCTATGGCCATTGGCTGATGCAGGCGCCATTCAAAAAGCGTTTCCACATGCCAGGCACTATACCCTCCGAGGACACAACGGTGAACAAGACAGATGGCGGCCTTTGTTAGATGATTGTACGTGATCGTGATACACATCTTCTACTTTATTGGTGGTTGTTTACACAATGAAATTTAGGGGGAAATTAGGAGGAAAAATCAGATAATTAAGGGACCAGTGATTTTGCTACATCATCTTTATCTTTTTTTCTTAAGATTTTTTTATTGATTTTAGAGGAGGAAGGGAGAGGGAGAGAGAGAGAGACATCGATGTGAGAGTAACACATCACTGGCTGCCTCCTGCATGACCCCTACCGGGGATCAAGCCCCACAACCTGGGCCGGGAATCACACAGGCGACCTCTCCTGCCACCAGGACAGATGAGTTGGGGAAACAAAGCATCAATCAGGACAGGAATGTTAGTGAGTGAGTCCTTACGCTGACCCGGCCGTGAAGGAGAATTATTTCACACACCTACTGAGAATTCACCTAGACAGGCCGGGGCCTGGGGGCTCTCTACTGTTACACGGCGTCCCATGGGCATCTGATGCACCACCATGCTTTCATCAAGTAAGAGAATGACCCTCCCTGAGCAAGCAGGCCATACACTCGGATGCTCTGAGCCGCAGTTTCCTTACATTTAAAAACAAAACTTCATCTCCCATCATGTGTCCAAGGACGACATGGAGGAACGCCTGGTGTCTGAGCCGCAGTAACTGCTCAGTAAACTAACGGTGGCTATTTTCATATGAAAGCTGTTATTTACACGGACTCGCGGGCGAGGCGGCTGGACTTTTTCTAAGTGACTTTCTTGTCTGACACAACCATTGTCCAACCCTTCACGGTAAGTGATCACTAAACACAGATCCGGTTCTTAGTAACATCAGCCTTTAAGCGATGACAGAGCGACACAGTGATGGGGAGAACATACGTGGCAGCACAGGCGCAATGTGAACATTTTCTTCAGAACTTGTGTATTTCAGAAAGTGACCAGTGAAAATCACAGTAATTGTGGCTCACTAAAAAAGGAAGCACGCCGCCTGTCAGAATGGCTACCACCCATAAATCAACAACAACAAGTGCGGGTGAGGATGTGGAGAAAAGGAACTCCGTGCCCGCTGGTGGGATGCCGACTGGTATAGCTACTGCGGGAGGCTGTATGGAGTTTCCTCAAAAGCTAAGGATGGAACTGGCTTTTGACCCAACGATTCTGGGGATTTATCCAAAGAGACCCGAAACAGTAATTCAAAAGAATATATGCACCCCTATGTTCATTGCCATGTTACTTACAATATCCAAAATTTGGAAGTGCCCATCAGCAGATGAGTGGATAGAAAAGCTGTAGTACATTCACACAATGGAATGCTACTAGGCCATAAAAAAGGAGGAAATCTTACCTTTTGCGACAGCATGGATGGGCCTGGAGAGGGTTGTGCTAAGGGAAATAAGCCAGTCAGAGAAAGACAAGTACCACATGACCTCACTTACATGTGGAATCTGATGAACAAAATAAACTGACAAAATAGAAACAGACTCATGGACACAGACAGCGGACACGCTGTGTCACGGGGGAGGGGTACAGGGCTGGGTGAAAAAGGTGGAGGGATAAACAAAACAAAAATGAAAAGACAAAAACACTCACAGACACAGACACCAGTGTGGTGATTACCAAAGGGAAAGGGGGCGGGAGGAAAGGGTCCAGGTAACTGTGATGGAAGGAGACTTGACTTGGGGTGGTGAACACACAACACGACACGCAGATGACGGGTTGCAGAATGGGACCCCTGAAACCTAAATAATTTTATTGACCAACGTCACCCCAATAAATTCCATGGAAGAAATAAATCAATCTTGAAATTCTAAAAATAAAAAAGGAGGCAGTGAACATGAATGCATCCAAGTAGAATAACTATGTGCAAGCAATTGTTAAAACGTTTTAAAGCGCCGTGGCCAGTTTGGCTCAGTGGATAGAGCGTCGGCCTGTGGACTGAAAGGTCCCGGGTTCGATTCCGGTCACGGGCATGAACCTTGGTTGCGGGCACATCCCAGTGGGAGGTGTGCAGGAGGCGGCTGATCGATGTTTCTCTCTCGTCGATGTTTCTAACTCTCTCTCTCTCCCTTCCTCTCTGTAAAAAAATCAATAAAATATATTTTTTTTAAAAAACACATTTTAAATCAATAGTATTAACTTGACAAAATACATAGGGCACCAAAGGAAGGGCAAAAAAAGGCAAGTAAAAATATCTGCTTTATCAAGTCAACGATACGGAACGCAGGCCACGGACGAGGCCCCGAGGAGCGTGTCCGAAGTGCACACAACGGTGGTGAGAGGACAGACAACGCCTTGCTCTCCGTGACAATGCCAGTATCCCTGTGCTTTCTGCACGGTGATGTACCGTGTCTAGGATCAAAACCATAGGGGCCTGGCCAGCGGGGCTCCGTGGCTGAGCCTCAACCTATGAACCAGGAGGTCACAGTTCGATTCCCTGTCAGGGCTCCTGCCCGGGTTGTAGGCTCGATCCCCAGTGTGGGGCGTGCAGGAGGCAGCCAATCAATGACTCTCTCTTATCAATGATGTGTCTATCTCCCCCTTCCTCTGAAATTAATAAAAATACATTTTAACAAAACATAAGTACTACAATATTATAAGTGAATATAAAGGCCACAAATGCAAGTTTAAGACACTGAATTGGCCAGTGTAACTCAATTTTCCAAACAGCCTCGTGAACATCACCCTCTATAACATTTTCCTATAACTCCATCTGAGATTCCAGTTAGCTTTTATATAACACTAGAGGCCCGGAGCATGGATCCGTGCACCGGTGGGGTCCCTCGGCATGGCCTGCGGGGATCGGGCTGAAATCGGCAGTCCAACGCCACCTGCGGCTCCTGCCTGCTGCTCCTGCTCATCTCAGTCCCCGCTGCGCCTGCCGCCGCTCACAGGCTCACTGCCGCTCCGCTGCAGTCTCCGGGCTGTGGCAGCAGCCGTGAGCCCTGCGTCTGGTGCCCTTCGGTCAGCTGAGAGGTGCTCCCACTGTGGGAGCGCACTGACCACCAGGGGGCAGCTCCTGCATTGAGCGTCTGTCCCCTGGTGGTCAGTGCGCGTCTTAGCGACCGGTCGTTCGGTTGTTCAGTCATTCGGTGGTTCCATTGCTTAGGCTTTTATATACACAATGGATGATCTAAAGGTGCATTACATAATGGCTAAGAACGCAGCCACGTGTCTATAATGAGTCTTACCTTTGCCTTGTCTCTCATGGAGCCTTTGCCAAGAATGGACATTTTGGTCAAGGTCTCTTCTTGTAAACGCTTCAGAGAATTGCCACGTGGACCCAGAAGTTTCCCCACAAAGTTGAACTAGGAAAAACACAGAAACCAAACTTGTCACACCCGTATCTGAAGGTAACTTGTCACTCCCGAATACTAGGAAATACGGCAGCATGCTCCACATCATTGGTGAATGACAAGCAGGTCAGTTCCCGCTACAGGAATCATGCTGGTTCCACACACCACAGGTAACAGGGCTAACCACGGTAAAATAAAACCACAATTGATATGTTTCTCCATACCAGTCATGCCCGTGATGGCTGTATTTCACAACCTGTAAATGCAGTTAATTTCCTTGACAACAGGCACACACATTCAACGCCCACCATGGACAGCGCCAGGGTTAGGACACAGGCGAGGGAAAATGCCGCTCGCTACATGTCCTGCAATGTCCCTCGACTGGTCATAGCGTCTGGGTTCTGCGACCTGGTCAGCACTCAGCCTTGGCCAGTCAACCAATGGAGGCTGACTTCAACATCCCGTGGCTGACAAAAGCTTTGCCATAAAGCCCCCGATCTCTTCGACAACTAGCTATGGGGATGTGGACCACTCATGCAGGCTGGACGCTTAGGGCTGTTTATTTAACAAGCAGAGAAGTGAGTTACTGAAGGACCTGGACTCTGAGGCGAGGCTACCCGGGTTTTAAAACCCGGCTTTGCCATTTGGCAGCTGAGGAACCCTGGGCCAGTTACCCAACCTCTGCACAATGGGCTTCCTCAGCTGTTCAACGGGACTGTCCTGGGGACTCAGCTGGTCCATATAAATAGACTGGAAGCCCGATGCACAAAATTCATGCAAGGGGCTCGGCCCCCCGCAGCCGCAGCCGCTGCCTCTGCCTCGGCTGCCTCTGCCTCAGCCCCCGCTGCCACGGCTTTGTCCAGAAGGTTCTCCGGAAGGTTGTCCGGAAGGTCGTTCGGTCTAATTAGCATATTATGCTTTTATTATTATAGATTATTTAGAATGCTTGGCGCAAAATAGACAATAAGTATGTCTTGAGTGAAAGAATTATCGTTTGATATGTCACACAATGTTTGAAGCCTCGCTATGATGAAGGTAAACCATGAATACTTCTCACTCCCGAACAGAAAGGCTGCCTGTTTACTACCCAGAGAGCACCTGTCCTCTCAGGCGCGCTCGTTGGTAACAAACGCATGCCTTCCCTGCTCTGAGGTCAGCCACTGTACAGGGGCTGGTGCCACGGCCGCACCGCTGCTGTTTTTAAGAGAAAATTGTTCCTCCATTTGCCTTGCTATGATAATTGAAGTCATTTTCCTAAAATACCCACTTTAAGGAAAATCAAAGTACTTTTTCCTTGCCCACTTTTCATTTTATTGGTCTTCAACAAGACTCAAGTATCTATTTTTAACCTTTGCTTGCAACTTTATTTTTTAAATTTACGTAAATTATAGTTTTAAAGTATATCAGTAATACAGAGTTGAAAATATCAGACAAAACTACAAGGTTGGGGGGACCAGTCTCTCGACCCGCCCAACCCTACCTGCTCCTCGTGCCGGTTTTCTCTGCTTTTATTTTTGGAGTTTGTATTATCTGGATTCCGGGGCCCTGGGTTGGATTTCTAAGTTTCCTCTTTTTTCCCCTCTTTCATCTTCTCACTCTTTAGTTTTTGGAAGATTTAATTACACTAAGCTGCCACATCTATTGATTCATTTCCACAATCAGAGGTTACACTACTGACAGCATTTTCGTACTGTGTTCTCTTTATGTTCGTTTAAAAATGTTTATGGAGGTTCCTGTCTTTCTGAGAATCTGAATAGCCATGGCCCTCACCCGTCCGAGTGTGTGACCTGGCCTTGTTCTCAGCACGGACAGCCCTCGGCAGAGCGGCCCTCCTCTGCCCCGTCCTCAGCACGCAGCCCGTGGCTCTGAAATGCTGCCTGAAGCTTCCTCTCATGGCACCTGACAATCTGCTGTGCCTGGCGGCCCCGGTTTCCATCAGAACCTACTCCAGCCCGGCCGGCGTGGCTTGGTGGTTGAGCATCGACCTATGAACCCGGAGGTCGTGGTTTGATTCCTGGTCAGGACACATTCCGGGGTTATGGACTCGATCCCCAGTGTGGGGTGTGCAGGAGGCAGCTGATCAATGATTCTCTCAACACTGATATTTCTATCTCTCCCTCTTCCTCTCTCTGAAATCAATAATAATAATAATAATGCTTTAAAAAGCCTACTCTAATTTTGGTATCAACACTTCTTTTCTCCCGGGACAGGCATCGACTTGAAGAGGAATGAATAAAAATCGCCCACCAGCCTGGCTGGTGTGGCTCAATGGTTGCGCATTGACCTATGAACCAGGTGGTCACGGTGCGATTCCCGGTCTCCTAAGAGGAGGTATCACCTTGGTGGCCAGGATTCCAAGAACCCATCAGTTAGCACAGATACCCCTTGACTTATGTATGGAGTAGCGCCCCCATTTTCAGGGGGCACCTCGCTCTGGCCCTCAGTGGCCAGGTCTCCGGGTCTCCTCTGGGGCGGCCTCCTCGGGAAGCCTCGCACCTCCTGCTGGGTTAAGACGGGCAGACGCCGGGCCACCAGCAGGAAGCGCCTCCGGAAACCTCACTTCTTCTCCCCCCAAGTCTTCTGTTCCACCCGATAAGCCCTTTCACAGGAACTGCGTCTCCAGCCCCGAGTCTCCCCGAGGTCTCCCCACACTGGCGAGCGGGTCTGGTGGCTGCTCTCACCCCACCAGCTCAGGGCTCTGGCGCTGTCTCCCTTGGCAGCACCATTGTTACCCATCTACTTCGCAGCCGCCGGAATGTTCCCGGCGGCCTTTGCCTATTGTTGTTGTCTCACTCGCACCTTCTCTTCACGGATTTGTGCCTTTTGAATCCATTTAGAGCCATGTGAGCGGGTTTCGAGGATGGTGTAAAGTTACATTGAGGCGGTCAAACAGCCATATTCACATTTCTTGAACAGTCACATATCCCCGGTTAAGAGCTGGGAGTCCTTGGAAGTCATCCGGCCCAAGCATCTCATTTCACTCTGAGGAGACGGAAGTCCACGGAGTGCTATGATTTGTCAAGGGCACTTGATGAAGCATAAAAACACAGGGATCCATATCAGGAGAAGCCCTGGCTATGGTTCTATGTGCCTGTAGGAGTTTCTCTCTCCCTCTTGCTTCTGTGAGCATTTTGTTCACAGAAAGTACATGAAGGAGCGCTCTGACAATCAGAAGGCCTGCTATTCCTGTCTTTGCTCAACCACGGATTATGTTTTAGTTCCATCTCCTCATCAGGTTAACCCTCGAGAGGCTCTCTCTCCTCCTCCACCACATAGGGCTCACCTACTGCGAGTGCCCGTCGTGTGAATTAAACACAAAGTGAATGAGAGTCACCCACCTGGCCGGCGCATGTGGCTCAGTGGCTGAGTGTCAGCCTATGAACCAGGAGGTCACAGTTTGATTCCCAGTCAGGGCACAGGCCCAGGCTGTGGGCTCGATCCCCAGGGTAGGGCGTGCAGGAGGCAGCCAATCAATGATTCTTTCTCATCATTGATGTTTCTGTCTCTCTCCCTCTCTGAAATCAACAAAAATATATTAAAAACAAGCAAACAGACAAACAATGACCAAGTGCGGAGCGCTGGGCCAGCGCGATTTCGCCTGAGCCCTGGGCCCTGCGTGACTGATGCTGAGGAAGTCCTCAGACCTGGCAATGGCTTCCTCCGAAAAGCTACTCTTCTCAGGAGAGACCCGTGATGACCCCGTTTACCCACAAGGCCAGGCACTGGCCTCCAATTCCCCTGCTCTGCTCCCAGAAGCCGGGCGGGCCCGGCGGTTCCCACAGGCCGTCAGAAAGTGCTCCCTCACCTGCCTTGATCACACACCAGCCAAGGTTCCTCTTCAGACAGGGCTGTTGTTTTATGTGGTAACTGGATTTGCAATCAGACAGTAAGAACTTACATTTTTAAAAGATTTTATAAAACTGATCTTCAGAGAGAGAAGAAGGGAGAAGGAGAGAGAGAGAGAGAGAAAGAAACATCCACATGAGAGTGAAACATTGATCAGCTGCCTCCTGCATGTCCCCTACCGGGGACTGAGCCTGCAACACAGACATGTGCCCTGAGCGGGAATCCAACTGGCAACCTTTCGGTGCATGGGACGACACCCAGCCAACCGACCCAAGTTGAATACATTTTAACTTTCATTTTTATTAATGACTGGAGGCCCGGTTCTGCACCGGTGAGTTCCCTCAGCCTGGCCTGCGGGGATCAGGCTGAAACCAGCTCTCCGACATCCCCCGAGGGGTCCTGGATTTCAAGAGGGTTCAGGCCAGGCCAAGGGACCCCACTGGTGCACAACCGGGGCTGGGAAGGGACCGTGGGAGGGCTCCAGGGCGTGTCCGGCCGGTCTGGCCCAGTTCCGATCGGCTGGACCCCAGCAGCAAGCTCACCTACTGGCCAAAGCATCTGCCCCCTGGTGGTCATAGCGACTGGTCGAACGGTCAAACGAACGGTCAGACGCTTAGCGTATCAGGCTTTGACTCTGTAGGATGCCACAGTGCATAGATGTGCACAGGTGAAAGTGTTACCATGCCCACAACCACTGACTTTTCTCCAGGTGGTAATTATTCTGTTACAAATATATATTACATTGTAGATGTTACAGTTGCAAATAGAAAGTTTTTCCAATGGTTATGAAGACGGTGAATCAGCATACAGTAAGACAGCGGGGTTTCACTGCGTACTGTGTGCCATCCAATAATTAGGTCCTTTGTTGGGGAGGCCCGGTGTCCTGAACCCGCCGTAATTGATCTAAGCCGTATGTGTGACCTGGCCCTGCTCCTGGGGGAACAATTAGTTATGCTACAATTTCATAAACAATGAAGCCTCCAGAACATGTCGCCGTCTCCATTCAATGTGTCCCCTAATTGGCTGCTCCCCGAAAGGCTGATTAGTCTGACGGAGGGCTGCCTGGCTGACCTCTAACTCAGCCTGGAACTGAACTCGTAGCCTCTGCCACCACATGCCAAGCACGGGGTTCTGCCAGGGCGCCCCAGCCCAGCACAGGGCACGGC